TGGTGTTTTGGGGAGGCTCTGGACACCTGGTCAAAGTTGATGCCACGATGAAAGCAGCAGCTTATTAATAAAGTCATTGTTGTGTTTTGTAATGGGGACAAGCCTGAGAGTAAACATCACGGCCCTGACGTTGATCTTCACCCATGTGTGCCACACGTCATGGGATCAGGAAGCAGAACATCCAGAAATCAGGAGATTGTTTTGGGACGCTGCTGTGAAAAAAGTGACCGGAAAAGCTCACACTTCGACAACGGATTATTGAAGAAGGAAAAAAATCCAGAAGCAGTGTGATGTTCTGAGCGACATTTCGTTAACCCTGTAACGGGTCATTTTAGCACATACTGGCTCAGGAAGATGTAAAAGTTCCCGTTAAACAATACTGGAGAGGAATGTGAGCTCCTCAGCCCAAAAGCCGTGCACGAGTCGCTTGGATGTTCCCACAAAACCTCAGAATCTCTGAACCGGAGTGGGGAGAGCTCAAACATGCTGTCCATGACAGACGGACCTGGATCTGCAGGAACTGGAGGCTTTTTGCCGAAAACAAAAGAGAAGGTGTGAGAGAACCACTTTATTCATCTTTTTTATATCTCCACAAACCATTTAGAGCTATCCTGTGTTAGAACGTTGTGAAGAGGCATGAAAATGTGTTTCTGGCAGATTTGTAGCTTTAAACATCCCTGAAACGTCTCATTCTGACTTATCCTGTGAAGAGCAGAAGTGATCGCTGTGTGAGGAGGATTAGCTTCGTGGTTAGAACAGACCTATCAGACCCATCGAAACTGAAGAAAAGTTAGACTGCCTCTTTAGTTGAAACAACATAATTAATGTCGTGGTCTTCATCAGCATTTTCATGCAAGTTTTATAACAGAATTAAACATTACCCTTGGCCTTCTGTTCTTTATGGACAGTAAATATTAAAATGGCGACGGCCCCGATGAAGGCCACACGCTGAAACACCTTGTTCATTTAAGTTGTTTGTGCTTTCAGTGCAGCAGGAGCTCAGTCCTGGAGGGCTTAGACCAACCAGCCATTCCTCCCCATCCCCGCATATTTTTCTTCTCCTGCTCCCTCACATCATCACACAAACGTGCACATAGGATCTTGGGGGATCGACAAGTCAGGGAGTGTGGGTAAGGACTCCATTTCCGCATTCCTGTGGCAACCTGTCCCCCAATTTTATTTGCACCTTAAATACTTCCACCAACAACATTCCACGCAAACACACACTTAGGGCCTTGGGAGTGAGCACATTCAACAGCAGTTGGCAGGAGGATTTCTCATCCTCATCCCGGGTGCCGGTGCCCACTTCCAATTTTAAACCGCACTTAGACACCGAGGGCTGTGGGTGCAAGTGGGGTGGTGCGGTGGCATCAGCTGGCATAGGCCAGACAATGCCCGCACTGCCCGCTCACCACAGCCATGGAATACACCTCATCAATACACAACACTATATTGGAGCAGGCAGAGGGAGACTAGGGGTCTTAGCACACCTCTGTTGTTGCTAGGCTTCCTGGGGCTGGAGGCTAGGAGGGAGATCTGGCCATCTGGTTGGGGTCTGGGGTGGTGGGTTGCTGTGCTCAGCGTTGGGCAGGGGAGCCTGCTCATCAGCACCCTAGCAGAAAGGGTCAAACTCTGGGAACCGGTAATGGTTGTGCCCCATGTGCAGCAGTACCGGGACCAGAGTGAATAGGGTGTGTATGGGGAGCATGTGTGGATGTTCGGCGGGCATTTTTGTAAGTCTTTGGTTGTATGTGCATGTGTGAGCATGAGGGAGGGAGTGTGTGACTGTGTTTGTGTATGACTGTATATGTCAGGTGGGGCCTTTGACTCCTCCCCTCTCCTGGGACTTCTCTTGATGATATAGATCTTCGTCTCCCCTCCCCCTGCCACACCTGGTGTGGGGTGTGGTGCCTTGGTCTGCCTGAGTGTTCGTGGCTCCCGGGTAAGGGGGTTTAAGATTTTTGGCGTCTGTCTGATCAATCCCGGTGTCTGTCTGGTGGGGTCTGGGTCCCTGGCCTCTGCTGGGTCCCCGGCGGGGGTGGTCTCCCCTGAGTCCCGGGTCGCTGGGTCCCGGGCTCAGCCGGCTAGGGGGCAGGAGGCTGCGGGCGGGTCTGAGGGCTTGCCGCTGATATCTCCCGGGACTCTGCCGGCTGCTGGTTGTGGCCCCCCAGGGCGAACCTCTGCGCCTCTCGAGGGGGGCGGGGGCCTTTCTGGTTGTGGTCTCCATGGGGTTCCTGTCTTCTGGGGCAGCGCCTGGATCTCTGGGACTTGGAGCTCCCTCCGTCTCCTACACATCTTTGGGGGCAGATTTGTGGAAACCTCACACTCTCTATTGGACGCTCCTATAGAGAAACCTTACATAAACAAGCGCGTGTACACACAGGTGCTCACATGGTGCTCTCAAAGTATGGGCTTGGGCACGTTCAACACATGTCTTAAGGCTGTCGTTGCCACTAAATGCACTATGATTTATTTTCGTTTGATTGTTCAGTTAAACAATGTTGATTTATATTTCATCATCAGGCTGACGCAGTGATAGCTTGCTCCTGTTGTATTGTTGTGTGTCCCTTTTTTTCTATTATTTCTCTTTCTGCAGGTCTAGAAGCAGACTCTTGTTCATTATTGTTTATTTTTGTGGACCCCCCCCCCCCCCCCCTTCCCCCTCTCTCCCCACCTTTTGTCTTTTCCTTTCTCTTTCACCTCTGACTCCGTGTCTGGTCGTAATTAAAAGGCATTCAAAAACAATAACAATAAAGTTTTAAGTATCAGGTGTGACATTAAAAACAGACGCTTTGATGCTCCACCTGAGAGTAAATCTGTAAGGCTTGTCACCAGCATTCAGACATCAATTCTGTTTGCTTCACAGCCAGACAGGACACGGAGGGGAAAAAAATAATAATAAAAGAAACAACATAATTAATGTTGTGGTCTTCATCAGCGTCGGGGGAGAGGTCCTACCTCAAGTGGTCCTACCTCAAGTGGAGGAGTTTAAGTATCTCGGGGTCTTGTTCACGAGGGAGGGTAGGAGGGATCGGGAGATCGACAGGCGGATTGGTTCGGCGTCTGCAGTGATGCGGACGCTGAGCCGATCTGTCGTGGGGAAGAGGGAGCTGAGCCAGAAAGCCAGGCTCTCGATTTACCGGTCGATCTACGTCCCAATCCTCACCTATGGTCATGAGCTTTGGGTAATGACCGAAAGAACGAGATCGCGGATACAAGCGGCCGAAATGAGTTTCCTCCGTAGGGTGGCCGGGCTCAGCCTTAGAGATAGGGTAAGGAGCTCGGACATTTGGGAGGGACTCGGAGTAGAACCGCTGCTCCTCCGGATCGAAAGGAGCCAGTTGAGGTGGTTTGGGCATCTGGTCAGGATGCCTCCTGGACGCCTCCCCGGGGAGGTGTTTCGGGCATGTCCTGCCGGCAGAAGGCCCCTGGGTCGACCCAGGACACGTTGGAGAGGTTACATCTCCAATCTGGTCCGGGAACGCCTTGGGGTCCTGCCGGAGGAGCTGGTAGACAAGGCCGGGGAGAGGACGGCCTGGAGCTCCCTAGTTGGGATGCTGCCCCCGCGACCCGGACCCGGATAAGCGGAGGAAGACGAGACGAGAGACGAGACGAGTCTTCATCAGCATTTTCATGCAAGTTTTATGACAGAATTAAACATTACCCTTGGTCTTCTGTTCTTTATGGACAGTAAATATTAAAATGACGACGGCCCCGATGAAGGCCACATGCTGAAACACCTTGTTCATTTAAGTTGTTTGTGCTTTCAGTGCAGCAGGAGCTCAGCCCTATAGATCTAACACCCAGTGCTTGTTTTAGCAGTGATCTGAACCCGTTTCTGTTGGCTTGGACTCCTGCAGGAAACAGAATTGCTACATCTTCCTGTTTCTGATGATATTTACATGTGTAAATAACCACAGAGCTTCACACAAACAGTCAAAACCACTGGCCATGCGTCCGGTTGTGAAGCAACGGTGCACGAAAGGCTTGGAGCGTTTTCCTGGTTCGGGGGCTAGCTAAAACAGCTAAGGTAGCAGTTATAAATATCTGATATTCATCCAAATAACCAGCGAGTCTGTGTCTGGAGTATCTATCAGGTGATGATACTCTTATTTATATAAAACGGACTCAGAAGCCTGGTTTGGGTGCGAGTCCAGTCGGGCCTTTGTGGTTGGAGCAGTCCCGGCTGAACACACGAGAGGTGGAAGCTGGTTTCACATTGGTGGAGTAAATGTGGGACACCGCTGAGTCTCTTCTTACGAGTGCAGAAACAAGCTAATCTGATTAGCACGCATCCCCCTCTCCGATGCGCTGGTCCAAGTCCCGGAGGCAAGAATCAGAACATTCCTGCTACGAACTCACCACATTTCAGCTAAAGATGTTCCTGCTCTCAGTGTTCTTCTCTCCTCCTCCCTCCATCCCTGACCTTGTCGGCTTCCCAGCTTCTCGTTTATTTTTTTATTCCTCTTCTCCGTCTCCTTTTGTGCTCACATCTTTTTTTCCTCCAGACCTTTATGCTGATTGATTTTTATGCCTCTCCTTATCGAGCGGAGCAACCATTGTCAATAACTACGATCCATCCTCTGTCCCCACTCGACACATTCGCAGCAGGAGAGGAATGAAATTCAGTTTCTCAGCTAGTTGAACTTCACTCTAGATCCACGTGGGTTCTCTTGGATCAAATCGTTTTCCTGAAATTGTCATTTTTCTTTGTGCTGTTAAGTTAAACAAGTTGTCAGTTCATGTCTAACAGCGACTGTGTTGTTACCTGATAGTTTTAGCTAATAAACAGATATTTGACTCTGAGAAAAGCACAGAAAGTTTCCTACAAATGACTCTGCAGGAGATTTTATTCCCATTTAACGCTCAGATGTTGCACATTATCTTGTCTTGGGACGTGGAAATGCTCCCGCTATGATTCTAAAGGCTTGCCACGTTAAAGTCTGCTAAAAACACGACTGTCTGGAAGTTGAAGCAATGCTTTATTCATAGTTAAAGTTATATTCAAAATTGGTGAACCTTTGTTCAGAAATGTGCATTTGAGAATGTTCCTGGTCTAGTCAGAGGCAAGGTGCATCAGGCTGCTTATCAGAATCATCTTCTATCATGTTCTCTAAAGCCAGATCCTGAGGTGTTCCCTTGCCAACATGGAGGTCTGATTCCTCTAGCATGTCCTGGGATGACCCTCCTGGTGGCAGATCACGCCTGACACCTCCTCTGGAAGGCATCCTGACCAAACGTCCGAACCACCTCAGCTGGCTTCTCTCGCTGAGGAGGAGCAGTGGCCCTACGTTGAGTAGAACTGTTACGTTTGAGCATCGACGTCCCAAATGTACTTGTGCCAGATAGTCACATCATAAGAGAAAGAAAAAGTGGGAGTTCACTTTTCAAAGTTGTATTTTCACCATGTTACTCATACGTTTATAATTAGTCTGCAAGCTAAATATTTACTTTAGAGTTAAATATTTATTTTACAAGCTAAATATTCATTTTTGAGTGAAATATTTATTTTATAATCTAAATATTTACTTTAGAGGGTAGAAAGTTATTTTACAAGCTAAATATTTATTTTCGAGTGAAACATTTATTGTCACGGTCTGAGGTATTTCCCTGCTGTCACTCCCTGTCTTTTGAGTTTCCCTCTGCAGGTGGGCGTGTCTGGAGGTGACCAAGCTGCAGCAGATCTGCTCATCGGCTGGCCAGGGGTATTTAAGCAGCTGGGAGACTCCTACACTTCGCTGGATGATTACTCTACCTGGGTACCTTCTAACAGCCACTCGTGTGACTTATTCAAGCTCTTAACTTTTTTTTGAGAACTAGATGTGTTTTTAGATATTGGATTTTTACCTTTTGACCTCCTGCTTTGTCTCCAGACAAAACCTCCACACTCATCTTCGACTGGCAGAACTCTGGAGCCCGCATCATCTGAAGCTCCAACCCCGCTCGTCTCTCAGCCTCTCCCCTGGCCAGAACCACCTCCAGCTGCCCACCTAACCCTCCTGGACCTCCCCAAGCTCAGCTCCCTCCACGTCTCACTCCTGGATCTCAGTCCCTGCTACCCAGACCGGACCACTCCTCCCTCAAACCAGTCCCCACCTCTCCAGACCGTAAGTCCTCTGCACAAGTCTGATTTCCTGATCCTTCTGCAAATTGGATCTAACTCCGATCTGTCCACAGTTTTCCCGCACCAGCCTCCCTGCGCAAGAACTCAGCTTCGTTACGCTGCTCCCTTGGTTTCCCTTCAATAAATCCTTATTTAAACCTTTTAAAACCGTCTCCGATCTGATTCTGTATGTCGTGGGTTAGATCACTTCACCACCGCATGACATTTATTTTATAATCTAAATATTTACTTTAGAGGGTAGAAAGTTACTTTACAAGCTAAATATTTATTTTTGAGTTTATTTATTTTACGAGCTAAATATTTACTTTAGAGTTTAATGTTTATTTTACAACCTAAATATTTACTTTAGGTAAATATTTATTTTACAAGCTAAATATTTACTTTAGAGTTAAAAAACAATTTATATATTTACTTTAGAGTTAAATGTTTATTTGACAATAAAATAATTATTTAATTTGGAGCAAAAAATTTGCTTTCGAAACTAAATATTTTGCTCCAAATAAAATATTTATATCCTAGCTTAATATTTATTTTGGTACTTAATGTTTAGTTTGCAAAATCAATAATTAGGTTTAGCCCCAAAATAAAAATAAGCTGGGATCAAAATATTTATTTTGGAAAATAAATATATAATTCAAAGCAAAATATTTTGGAGAGAACTTAATTTATTTAGCTTATATTTTTCAGGAGGATAAATTGCTTGACATGTGACATCTCGATTTCGAGCAGGTCCTCCTGCAACAAATAAATAATATGACTTTGAGTATAATAGAGAAGACTTAAACATTTATAAATGTATGAATAACGTGGTGAAAATTTGAGAAATAGGAAAAATGAACTCCCATTTTGTTTGTCTTATGATAGGCAGAATAACCCAGAATACTGTTCACACATGAGCAAGCCGACAATTGGCCTGAACAGTTTTGTGTTTGGCCAATCACAGCGCTCTACTACGTTTGACCAGTAGTTTGGTAAATTTACCAGCAAATAAAATAAAAACCACACTAAAAGCTGAATCTTGAAACCACTGAATTAGATTTTGGCAACAATCTAAAAATGCAGTGATTACCTCAATTGTTGATTCCAGACTTTTATTTCTATAATGTTACATAAATAATTATTAAAATTCAAAAAATCTGAGTTTGACTAAATTCAACGACATTTCACACTTTAAAAATACCCAAGTTAAAGAGCAGGTTCACTAAGAATCCATTTTCGTTTATAATTTTTGATCGGCCACTCTTGAGTGTTTCATGCAGGCTGAACATGAAAATAGTCTCCTACACCTAGCATTAGCATTAGCTTTTGATAGAAAACAGATGGTGAAACTCTACGATTAGAAAAGCCTGACAGATCTACGTCACACTGTCATGCTGGGTGGCAGTTTCTTGACCCACGACATGCAGAATCACAACACGGAGAATAGGAAGGTAAGTAAAAAAGGGTTTTTATTATTAAATGATGAGTAACGGGGAGACAGGAACCAACGAAAGCAGGACTGGCAGCAGGATCCCAGGAGAAGATTTGTTTCTTGGTAGTGGTAAAATGTACAGGGAGGGTAGATCAGGTCCGGGTGAGCAGAGGAGATCCAGAGGGTGAGGGAATTGGTTTATCCAGACGTGTAGGAGCAGGAATGGCTGATAGCAGGTGAGCGGCTGAGAGCAGGCGGACAGGGGATGAAGCAGTGTGGTCAGGAATGCAGATATCCGGGTTTGTTCTGGAGGAGATGAGAGATGAAGAGGAACCTGGAGGAGAGCAGGGAAGGGCATTAAGGATTCTTTCAGTCGGCAGGTTAACAAGAGCAGAATACAAATGTCAAAAAATCAGATTGGAGGCTAGAGCTACCCAAACGGAGTAATCATCCGGCGTGGTGAAGTGTCACACTGCTCCTTAAATCCCCTGGGCCTTGATGGTGAAATCAGCTGCAGCTGGGAGCTCTCAGACACGCCCACCTGTGAAAACAATGCTTAGAGGAGAAAACGGGGTTACAGGCTGGCAGCTCACCACGGACCATGACACACACTGTCACATAACATTCATGGACTCACCCATCTGGATTCAGGACGGGGAAGGCTGTTGTCGGTTTAGCGTCCAGGAAACAGCAGAGCACGTCTCGGCAAGACTAAAGCTAACCATTAGCATTAGCAACCCCACCACACAGCGGAACTCCCCCAAGCTTGTGTTATTTGTGGATAAAACATCAACGCTGCAGAGCAAACAGGAGTCAGTGGTAGAGTCATGCTGCTGTTATCCAGTCAGAGGAGAGATGTCCACATATCAGGAAGTAAGACTCCAGATCCGGCCATCTGAAGCTACTTTCTCCTCTGGCTGAATTCCACATCCTCAAACAGGTGCACCGGATCTTATTTCCTTTAGAGAATGACTAGCAAGGCGTTCATCCCTACTAGAGTCAACTGCAGGTTTGTTATAATGAGAGTAAATTTGACTTTTAAAGTCCAGAGTCCTCAAGATGGAGACAGTTGTGAGCAGTGGGTCCTGATGTTGGGGTTCAGACCCCACTGTGGGTCCTGAAGTACCGAGTGAGGGTCCTGTATTTGATATCCCTAGAGCCCCTCAAGGTGCTTTACAATACAATCATTCACCCATACACACACTGGTGGTGATGAACTACAACATAGCCACAGCTGCTCTGGGGCGCACTGACAGATGTGAGGCTGCTGAGCTCAGGCGCCACCGGTCCCTCCGACCAACACCAGCAGGCAAGGCGGGTTAAGCGTCTTGCCCAAGGACACAACAGTAGCATTGTCTGGTGATAGCCGGGATCTACCCTACAACCCTGAGCCACTGCTGCCGTTCTTTAGCTAACAGTTAAACCAGTAACACCAGATTGTTGCCATAAATGAATAAATCTAGTTTAATTGCTGATTATGTTTGTCTGATTAGCTCATTACCAGCGTAACAGCACTTTAGTCCATGAAATCACCCTCAGCTCTGATTGTGTTTTCAACATTTCAGCCTCCTTCATCGTGATTCTGGAGCATCGTGTAAACAGAACTGTTCATTATTGAACTGAGTCACGACTCTTAAGATGAACTCGTTCCTTTGGTTCATATTTGGCTTTATTCTTACAGCCGGGTTGTTTTTGAGCTCAGCTCAGCTGACATCCACCGGTAGCCATCACTTCTTTCAGCGAGGGCCATCCTGCTCTCTGGGAATTTGGGGTGGGGGGGTGGGGGTGTGGGTGGGGGGGTCTGGGTGTATCCGTGTGTGTTGGAGCTGCAGGCAGATCCCGTTCCCCCCCAGGGTTATAGCATTACACGGATAATTAGGCTGGGTCATCCAGCTTAAGGACAAAACAAGACACCCATTCCAGTTGATTCAAGAGGAGCTCTTTGTGAGCCAAACTGGTCTGGAAACGCTTTTCATGCCAACTCGTTTGTCCTTGTTGCTAACAAATAAAGCTAATGTTTATGTGTACGGAGGAGGCTTTAGAGGAACACATTCATGAGGAGGAGGAAAAATCTCATTCTGAACGGGAGCTGACTTAAACACTGCCAAAGGAAGTAATTCAAGATTAGAAAAACCAGAAATTAGACACGCCCAAGGGTCTCTACACAACAGAAATAATGTCAGAGTAAAGTTTAGTAGAGATGTGGGAATTGCTTTTACCATTTATGATCCAGTGGTTTCTGACTTTGAACTAATAATCACACAGGTGTGTTGATGTGACAAAAGGCTGAATGATTAACAGCTTTCTGATCAAATTATTGATTTCAACGTGATCATGTGATCGACAAAGCTGCATTTTTAAAGCTCTCCTGACAGATCCGGGAGTTTTCTGTGTTGTGACCCAATGTTTGAGTCGACACAGTGGCGTGTCTGCCTCGAGCTTTAAGCTCCAGCTTTGCTTCAAGAAAAGTTTGCATAGATGGCAGATGGAGGCCAAAACACACTGGCCATGTGTGACACGTGTAAACATGCATCATATTATGACCGCTAACACATTTTTATAGCAGCACCATCTGTCCATGTTTTCATCATGTGACTGATTTGTCAAGTCAGATATTTGTCTGAATGTTGCAAAAATATTAATGTGGTGAAAAGTTTATGTTTGTTGTGAAAAAATGAAGTTTTGTTCTAAATAAGCTTAATCACCTCTAAACAGCTTAAATATGCCACCAGCTTATGTAAATAAGTGTCTGCAGACTTCTTAAAGGTCGCGTTCACTTAAAAACCATGTGATGCTTGTTCTTTTGTAAAATTATCGGTCACTCTGAGTTGAATTTGCATGCAGAACGTGAACATTTTCTTCAAACTCATCACTTGTTGTAGCTCCAGAAAACGCCAGCCCCTTCTATGTTACAGGGAATATTAGTATTCACAGCCCCGCCCACCTTGTCTTGGGTCCGCCCACAGCAGGGGTCGGCAACCCGCGGCTCTGGAGCCGGATGCGGCCCTTTCATCCATCTGATGCGGCTCCCTAGACTCTGCTTGTAAACTAATTAAGGAATATTTAATTACAATGTATTTTATTCATGTTTTCATCTGTAGCCAATTCTAAATTTAAAGATTATCTGTGTAAACGTGAACAGGTCACCTGCTTGCGCGTAATCAAACGTCTCTATAGCAGCTTTCTGAGCTGAAGAGGGTATGAGATTCTGGACTGTTCCTCAGACAGGCTCATGGATGCGTCGCAGTGTTGGAGACAGGAACAAGCGCTATTCAGCCAAATATTCATAATCAGGGAACATTTTTTAAGTGACAAGTCTCTCTGAGAGACCGGGTTTAGAAAACACAGAATCTTCCTACATGGTTCTGGTTCTGTGATGCGCTCCAAGCCCCCGATCTATCTTCAGCTCGCTGTCCACGTTACGCGCGCGCTGACAGGGAGCTGCGCTGAGCTCAGTGTCCATCTCAGGTGTTCTGATGGGAATCTTTTCCTGATTGATGTAGCTACCTCCATGATGTGCATTAAAATGTCAGCACATCTGCAGGCTTGAGATTTCTCCGTCAAAATAAATACGGGAAACATCGAGTCAGTGCGAACCCTGTCATTTAACCGTCTTACCTTCTAGTGAAGATTGTTGCAAACAGAAACATTAAACCTGATGAACACCAGAGCCACGCACACTGCGCCGTTATCTCCGTCAGTGTAAACGAGGAAAGAAAAACTAATTGCCTTTTCATACCTTTTCAACAATGTTTAATGCAAAGTTTAGTTCAGTACA